CTAGATAGTTCCATTTTAATTGCATTACCTTGGCTGTAGTAACCTACCATATGAATAAGTTAATACAGCCCAGCTGAATAAAATGTAAGTCGGTGCTTACTAAATACAGTCCCCTGCAGTGCCGACTTTTTCAGGTCATGATGAGCCATTACACTGAATGCATTTTAACTTCCCATTCACTCTCACAGCTGAGCTCTATGCCTTTCTTTCCCATTTCCAATGATTCCTGTTTCTTTACCAGCCTTAAACGTATGGCAAGCATCACCAAATTAATCCTGAAGCAGTTCACCCAGAATCCCTCTGTTGTCCTCTGCTTCAGCCTGTCATATACGATTAGCATGGCCCTGCCCTCCATGAGGTGGAGATAGACCAGGTTTCCCTGTGCCTCATCTGGATATAAATTTTTGGAGGATCCCAGGACTTGTCACAGAAACATCCGTTTTCCAGTCGTGGGGTGGGGGGGCTAATTAGCACATGGATCCTTTGTTGGGGGAGTATCTGGAGTATATGCACATACTGAGCAGTGCTGAGCTTATGGGGTCACTGTGGCTTGAAATGCTGTTGATTTTGCTGGGGCCCAGCTCAATGAGCTATATGGTAAATCATGAGCCTTTTGGTTTTGGACTAATAGTTTGTACTATATACAAGTAGGTACACCAATGCTGCTTAAAAGTTTGATTATGGAGTACTTGTGCTAAAACTTGCAGCAGCTTCATGAGTTCTGGCTGAACTGTAAATATATGAGTATTTGATGAAAATTACTACAGGTATTTTTATTTCAAGGTCATTGTTTTCAAATTTGCTTCTTAGGGAAAACAGGGTGTGACAGTAAGGGAGGAGTGAAGGGGCTTCAGGGGAAATAATTTGGGAGGAGGCAGAGGGCAGGAGGGCTGCCTGACTCACCAGATTTATTTTCCCTGCTGTAGCAGTGGGAAGGGGACAAATTCAAGACAACCCTCTAAAAATTAGACTTTATACCTGGAAAATTATAACAAATTTATAAATTTTCCATATATAGAATCTAATTTTGGGGGTGTAAGTTGTTTCATAGTTTCTAGGGTTGGAAGGGACCTGAGTAGATCATCTCGTCTGACCCCCTGCCATGGCAGGAAAGAGTACTGGGGTCAAATGACCCCAGCAAGGTGTACACCTAGCCTCCTCTTAAAGACCCCCAGGGTAGGAGCCAACACCACTTCTCTTGGAAGTTGGTTCCAGATCCTAGCAGCCCTGACCGTGAAGTAGCGCCTCCTGATATCTAGCCTAAATCTACCCTCTGCCAGCTTGTGACCGTTATTCCTGGTCGCTCCTGGCAGTGCTCGGTGGAACAGGGACTTCCCCAGTGCCTGCTGATCC